GGAACAACTGATTGGTTCAAAACTGGGAAAGGAGTATGACAAGGCTGTTTATTGTCTCCCTGCTTATTTAACTTATATGCAGAATACATCATAGCAAAGTCAGGACTGGATGAATCCCAAGCCGGAGTTAAGATTGCTGGAAAAAGTATCAACAACCTCAGATATGCAGATGATACCACTCTGGTAGCAGAAAGGGAGGAGGAATTAAAGAACCTCTTAATGAGGGCGAAAGAGGAGAGCGCAAAAAATAGTCTGAAGCTCAACATAAAAAAAAAACTAAGATCATGGCCACTGGTCCCATCACCTCTTGGCAAATAGAAGGGGAAGATATGCAGGCGGTGACGGATTTTATCTTCTTGGATTCCATGATCACTGCAGATGGTAACAGCAGCCACTAAATTGAAAGACGCCTGCTTCTTGGGAGGAAAGCGATAACAAACCTAGACAGCATCTTAAATTGCAGAGACATCATCTTGCTGAGAAAGTTCCGCAAAGTCAAAGCTATGGTTTTTCCTTTAGCGATGTATGGAACTGAGAACTGCACCATAAAGAAAGCTGCTCGCTGAAGGATTGATGCTTTTGAATTGTGGTGCTGGAGGAGACTCTAGAGAGTCCCCTGAACTGCAAGGAGAACACACCTTTCCATTCTAAAGGAAATCAGCCCTGAGTGCTCACTGGAAGGGCAGATCCTGAAGCTGAAGCTCCAATACTTTGGCCGTCTCATGAGAAGAGAAGACTCCATGGAAAGGACCTTGATGTTGGGAAAAAGTTGTGTAGATATGCAGATGATACCACTCTGGTGGCAGAAAGGGAGGAGGAATTAAAGAACCTCTTAATGAGGGCAAAAGAGGAGAGTGCAAAAAATGGTCTGAAGCTCAACATCAAAAAAAAACTAAGATCATGGCCACTGGTCCCATCACCTCTTGGCAAATAGAAGGGGAAGATATGCAGGCGGTGACAGATTTTATCTTCTTGGATTCCAAGATCACTGCAGATGGTGACAGCAGCCACTAAATTGAAATATGCCTGCTTCTTGGGAGGAAAGCGATGACAAACCTAGACAGCATCTTAAAAAGCAGAGACATCACCTTGCCAACAAGCTCCCTGCCCCAAAGCCTGCTTTACATGACTTAATGACTAAACAACAACGACATTTGTCCCGCATAGCCAGAGAGGGAAGATTAACTTCCATCTCTCCCTATGGCTTTCCCAGAGGGGCAGAATTGATCAGCAGGCCCACAGGCAAAGAGGAAAGGGCTAGGCTAGCCTAGCCCCTCACCCCCAGAGGTGAGCTCCCTGCCCCAAAGCCTGCTTCCCTGGCCCCTTCCTATTGTGCTTGATGCCCTAAGAGGAGCTGCAGCTGCCCTTTGCAAAAATGGCATCAGTGGCTTCCCTTAGGGCATCAGAGACAGCTCTAAGGGAAACTGGGTCACATATTTGCAGAGGGCAGCTGCAGCTTTTCTTAGAGCCCCAAGGAGAACCATAGCAACCCTTTGCAAAGATGGCAGTGGCGGCTTCCCTTAGGGCACTTAAGAGAATCCAGACTGCCCTTTCCCTTAGATCTGGCTCCGATGACCTAAGGGAAGCTGCTGACACCATTTTGCAAAGCTGCTCTTTGCAAAGATGGCAGCCTAGTTTCCCTTAGGGCATCATATCCAGCCCTAAGGGAAGCCACAGCGACCATCTTTACAAAGATTGTGGCAGCTGCATCTGCAGAGGCTGCAACAACATAGGTGGTGGGAGCAGCCCAAGGTAAGGAGGTGACGGGGCAGTGGGAAGATGAAAGGCTGTGGGGGAAGGGGGCTTAGCTTTTTTTCAAAAAAAAAGACAGTAACGGGCTAATGAACTGATTCGTGGTTCATTGGTTTATAGGGAAAATTTATGGTTTCTCAAACTTGACAAACCACGAACTAAGACAAACTGTCTTTTTGGCAGTTTGTCACTGTCTTTAATCCTCATTCCCTGATCTATAACTTACATCAACAATCTGTAAATGAAGGCAGATTAATTTAATTAGCTGCTGAAGGGTTTCAGGTGCTCTTTTTTGTGATGGTCAGAATGACGATTTCTCACTTCAGGCTGATATTCTGCTATGGCTTCCTGGTAGTGAATGTCTTAGTTTTGCCTTAGTTCTTACAATAACTTTTGGCACAGTTCTTAGAAGACCAGTGAAAGATATCTGCAGCAGAATGGGGTTGACTGAAGGCTTGTAATCATAACTGCATGACTTACTTGAAGGGAGATGTTTGCTTGAGGGCGAATTTTGGCTGGCGGCAGCTCAACGTAGGAATCCTTCCCAACAAAATTGACGGTGATGAGTTTCTCACACTTCTGGCCAGCAAAACCTGCCAGGCATCGACAGACTGGCTCCTGCTGTACTACAATGCACTGCGCACCATTCTGGCATTCATAGTAGTCACAAGGGCTGGTCTGGAGCAGAACCATTGGTGGAGGATTTTCACAGAAGAGTCCACTTTGATAAAGAACAAAAAGGAAAATATTATTCTGAATCCAGCAGCATTAGGCACACGGTTCATGCGATGAGGCTCAAATCTAATTGCATCCATCCTGGTGAAACAACATGACATACTGCAGATCAGCAGTATGTGTCCACTTCTTAAAACAATTTCAGATACAAAACATGCCCACACTACTTTTGGGCTGAAAAAACAAAACAAAACACCACACCAGTCTTTTAAAATAAGATTTGAATCAAAATAACTTTCCTGAATTATATGATTGCTGAGTTTCCAATTAAGACATCCATGTGGCATTTGGAAATAAGAACAAGAAATGAAACACAGCTTTTATAAAGAAATTATTCCTTTCATATAGTTCCTGTTAAAAAAAACCCAAAACTATTAGAAGCACCAGGTTTGTTTGTTTTTTTACGGAAGACACATAGCGGTGTGTGGCATCCACCCTAAGTTATGCATTATAAGTTATGCATTATTCATAAGTTGTATGGTAATAGAGTTGTGAGGCGGAGCCAAAGGGGCTGCTGAAGAGGCGGAGCCTGGGAGAGAAGTTCAGTCAGAGTCAGCGAGAGCTAGATAGAAAAGAATAGTTTGGGGTTTTGAGGCAGAGAGTGTTTAAGGAGTGATTAGACAGTGATTAGTCAGAGTGTGACCAGTGTTAATTAATACAGAAGAGATTAAAGTAAAATGTTGAAGCTGTGTGGAACTTTAAGAATGTGTTTAAGAATTATACCTGAAACCATGTGTAATCAATAAATCTGTTTCTGTTACAAAGTCAGTACTGGATGGACCTTAGTCTTTCATAAGAAAATTAAGTTGATAAAGAGATCAACTGGTGGTAGCATGTCATAGGGCGTGTTGAGATACCTTCGTGAGCTCTGGGTTTGGTGGAACAAGCAGGGGCCACAACGGTGAATGCCAAACGGTCGCTTAGGACAGTTTGTAAAGGAAGAGCTTTGTAAGCACACACTTCGCAGTTACCATTTCTGAGCATTTAAAAGGGTTTCAATTTCTTTTTTGTGCATTCTCTGAAAGTTTGAAAGTTATTTTCTCCCCCAGACAACATAAGGATTCTAACAGTCGTAGCTTAAAAGTAACTGTTTTGCGCTCTGGTTTATTTCATCCATATTCCTCCATTAAAATAGAAAACCATTTTGTACTCGGATGCAAGTGTTCCTTTTCCAATCTTTTTCAGGCAACTAACCCGAAATAGGCAGGATGCTTGTTACCAAGTGATCTCTTGATTTATAAAACAAAAAAACAAAAAACACAGGCATGGGGAGGGGCAGAGCCAGATTCAGGAATGTGTTGGTTGAGGAAGGCACCTTCAATCAAAAGCTGCTGTCAATATTTAAGTTGGACCTGTCACACTGTGCCTTCCCATTAGTGTTATCCATCTATGAGGAATAGCAGGTTCAGGTGAAGAATTCCAGTGTGAGCAAAGAGTGATATTGTACTCCTTACCCACAGGCTTGATCTGGGTTTTGCATCTACTCACTTTTTTCTTCAAAAGCAGTTGAATAAAATGTCACTTCTCTAGCCTTTAAAACAAGGGAAAAGATATTCTCCCTGGTGTCACAACTTGTTTCAAAGCTTTACTGTGCACCATGTTACTTTGGGCTTGCTTCCTATCACTGTCAGGAACATAGACACACCGGTGGTCATTACAACCGAAGCTGTTAGTGCTTGTTCCAACATAAAAGCGAGGAAGAAAATTGTAATGCAGGATGCTGCTTTCAGACTCCAGCCTGAATGCTTCAGTTAAACTGCTATGTTTTGTACGACAGGAATGTGAGTGTGAAGAAGTAGCTCTAGACTTTTGAGTACTACTGACACTATTTTGCTTTTTCTGGTAGTCTTCCTAAGCATAACTGTTTGCCTGATTCCCCTCCCACCCCCCTAGGCAATCTGGAATAGGCCAATGATAGAGAGCTCACTGAAAATCCGACAGGCAGGCTGAGACAAGAGATGTTGTGAGGAACTACAGTGACCTTTCCACATGAGGCAACTTGATTGTTCTCACAGTAAACAGCATATTGAAACTGCATGACCATTAAGCCAGCTGTGCTCACCCAATTTTCAAACACTACTTGCCTGGCACATTAAGCAGGCAATGGGAGCACACTGAGATAGAGACAGGAGGCTGGTTTCATTTCTTTTTTTCTTCTAGAGAAATCTGATCACGTATTTGCTTGTCTGCTCCCAAATTTGTCTTTAAAACAACTTCCCCAAACCAGCCAACTGACCTATTTGCATTGCATAATGAGCCTATCATTAGCATATTCTGACCATTTGGAGTCAAGACATCTGACATCTTCTGAAATGGAAGTCACACCTTTAGAACACTGAAGATTTAAAGCGGCAGCGATGCATGATTTATTTTCAAAAACCTTCTATGCATTTGCCCATTATTCTGTTCTCTGTTGTAGCAATGTCCCTTTTAATGAATCTGGAGTAAAAATAAGCAGGTACAAATGTGTATGCAAAAATACATAGTTTAAGAAATCAAAATATGTGTGAAGAAAATCTGAACCAGCTCTCTGAATGGAAGCATCATGCCTTAAAACATGGGGGATAGGAATATCATTAATATCCCTGCTCAAAAGCAAGCCCCTGTTTCCAGTGGAACTTACTCACACACTTTCCTTCATGATTGAACAGGAATACCTAATAAACAGCCCCTGAAAGAATGATATAGACCACATGATCCAGATGGAGGCTCAATTGAGTACTAGACAATGCAGGACCAAATGGGATGAACTTATTACTGTCAGAGAAAACTAAATGTATTAATCCCAAGCCTACAGAAAGATATATTATTGCAAAAAAGGAGACAAAAATAAACTAGCACCTCAGTGTCTTCATAATGGCTTTCCAGTATTAAAGAGATTCTGACTGTGAAATCAATACACATTTTTAAATTAACCTGCCTGTGTTTGCTGGAAGTTCGTCCTTCTCACAGGATTTCCTTCCTTCCTTCCTTCCTTCCTTCCTTCCTTCCTTCCTTCCTTCCTTCTACCTACCTACCTACCTACCTACCTACCTACCTACCTACCTACCTACCTACCTACCTACCTACCTACCTACCTACCTACCTACCTACCTACCTACCTACCTACCTACCTACCTACCTACCTACCTACCTACCTACCTACCTACCTACCTACCTACCTACCTGGACATCATGCGGGGTTCTCTAAATATGGCAATCTACATTTATGCAGAAAAGAGAGATAGGCCATGATGGATGACTGGAAAATAAAAAAGTCATCTATTTGGCCCAGTTTGGCTCTGTTAAAATAATTAGCAGAATTGTCTGCCAGAACTTGAGCTGGTCTCAAGTCTAACTCTTGGTTAAACAGTTTGAGCTGGTCTCATTTCTTTAATTTACATTTTCATAATCAGCTTAGCAATGCTCCTAGCACATACAAAATTAAAGCTTTTTTTTCAGCCTACATCTCCTACGAATGGAGTGGCCTCTGCTGGCTGGAGAATTCAGAGCTGTAATACAAAATAGGATTGTTGGTGCGTTCTGCTCGAAACCTAGGGTAGGCCAAGTTAAGATAGAATGGGGTGGATCTTGCTATCTGCACAGTGTCTGTGCCTCCTGAAACAACCCAATTTTTCTGACATAACCGCCACTTGGAATTAAATGATGTTGCCTTGTTTACCCGGACACAGAGGCCATTTTATGCAGTAGATCTTTGCTAAATTCAGAAGATGAGTGTGATATGATAGCATGAAGATTCCCGTCCAGAACTGATTTAAAATTATATCTACATACAAGTGGATGAGATAATGCCACTGCCAAAACTCTGTTGGTGAAACGGAGTACAGTTGGACTCCTCCATTTGGTGGGCTGGTCTTCATGTACCTGGCCATGCCCTGGTTGTAAAACTACATGAAGGACCTACGGCTGAAAGAACGAGCTGCTGAACATTTGCTCTTGCACATGTGTTTTCTCAACAATAAGATTTTAGCCTATGAGATCATCCAGCACAGATGGAATGTTGCAGAAAGGCACATCTTTTATTAAAATGTTATAAATGTGATGAATTTCCTCGAGGGGGGGGAATAAAATAAAATATATTTTTAAACAAGTGGTTTGAACAACTGATTCAGAGATTTGGATCTGAAATCCAAATTAGCTTGACTGAGGACTTGGAAGAGTTCACTGAAAGCCGTAAGGACAGTGATAAGCCTCTTTCCAGTCTCCAGGAGGTAAGATTATCTTAATATAGCCTTGATATAGGTTTGAATTGTGAAACAGCATTGCTTAGGATGAAACTCATAAGCTGTTATCGAAAGCAAGAGATAAGGGAAAAGGCTGTGGCCTAGTGGCGGGCAGCTCTTTTGCCTCTGGAAGTTTCCACATGCACTGAGAAAGGCTGGTGGAAAAAACAACAACTCTTGCCTGGAATCCTGAAAGCTGCTGCTACTCAGTGCCAACAATACAGGGCTACACACAGTAATGGTCTTTTATTATTATTATTATTACTACTACTACTACTACTGTATTATTATCATCATCATCATCATTTATTTATTTATTTATTTATTTATTTATTTATTTATTTATTTATTTATTTATTTATTTATTTATTTATTTATTTATTTATTTATTTATTTATTTATTTATTTATTTATTTATTTGACTTATACCCCGCCTATCTGGGCGACTCGTCTTTCCTGGTATAAAGCAGCTTCCTGAGTTTCTATGATCCCTTCACTCTGGATGTTTGAATCAACTGAATGCTGCCTCTCATGCCTTAATGTGGGAGCTATTTTTGTTCTTCTCACCCACTGGAGGGATGCAGAGAATTGGAGCATCTTTGCTACTAGAGGAAAACCCACCTAACCGATTTGTTCAAAGCCATCCTCAGGATGCTTTGCTTCGCTCCATCTCCTTTAAGTGATGTCCAAAACTCCGCTTGCCAACAACACACTCTCCCGCCTGCTTTTTGTCACTGTGGGCTGGTCCAGGGGCCTAGCTGGA